CATGGTGGCACATGCCTGTAGTCCCAGCTACTTGGGAGGCTGAGGCAGGAGGATTGCTTGAGCCCAGGAGTTTGAGGTTGCTGTGAGCGAGGATGATGCCACGGCACTCTAGCCTGGGCAACACAGTGAGACTCTGTCTCAAAAAAAAAATAGGTAAAGTATCAGGAAAGAAGGAGCAGTTAACTAGGTTATAAGTAATTTTACCTTTCCTGTCTTTGATAAAAATAATCTCAGTTTGCCATGGTCCTGGTTCCCTTATCTGTAAAAGATCCACTTCATCATCTTTGTCTTTCTCTGAAATGCTTTAATTGAATTACTTAAGAATTTCAGAACTGGGATGTATATATGTATATATAGACACACATACATACACACACACACATGCACATATACAGTCTATGTACTTTGGTGAGATATAGTTCATATACCATACAATTCACCCATCACAGTGTACAATCCAGTGGTGTTTAGTATACTCACAGAGTTGTGCAACCATCACGATGATCAATTTTATAAGGGAGACACAGCTTTTAAATCCTCTAATTCATCATACAGAGAGAAAACCAAAGTCCAGATGGGTTAAGTCATGTTCTCTAGGTCACAGAGCTGGTCACTGGCCGAGCCAGGCCTGGAAGCCCTGGGAATTATTTAGCCACTGACATCATCTCAGGCTCCCTTTCCCCTGCCCTTGGGAAAATTCTATATGCATTAAAACTCACTGTTAAAATGATTTCTGAGAAGAACATCTGGCATTTTTTATTATTGTGCTCCCTCTTATATTAAACCAGGTCTAATTTCTCCACCAAATCGGTTGTATCGCAAGATTTCTTAGAAGGACTTCTAGAAAAGATTAAAAATGTTATCTATCAAGCACTCTAACCACAAAGTGTGGCTAGGAAGCCCAGAGAGAATCTGTGATGTCTTTCCTTTCAGATGAAGTCAGAAATGATTTTAGCTCATGAAAATAAAAAGCTAAATTAGACCCTCTGCTCATTTCATTTTTAATGGACCGATTATGGGTAGTTAAACCAAACTACCCAACCTTAGAAAAATAGTTCTCCAATGCCAATAACTTGGGAGGATTTCAACCGTTCACTCTGGTTAGTGGTCAGCAACCAACTTCAGTCATCCACGGACTTCTGTCTTGGTGATCTCTGAGATTTGCTCCTATGAGGTCTGTATCCAATAAAAAAATATTTTTCAGAAGAGGAGGTTTGTTCCCAGCCAATGTTAGAGAAGCCAGGGTAACAAGCACAGCGAGCGATTTCTCTGGCGCTGCCCTGCCCACAGCAGCACTCAATCTCCTGGCTGCCCCAGGGAGGTGAGAGCACGCCTCAGTCCTCAGCCCACAGAAGCACTTGTTGATTGCTCCTGCACTCACATCCTCTTTTTATGATAATCTCTCTCCTGCATTCTACTAGTTCTTTCTTTCCTGTGTTGCTCTACACCAAAATTTCATTTATTCAATAAATATGCCCTGTGTGGTCACTGCTCAAGTACTGAGCTAAACATTGTCCTTAAATGTGAGTGCTCTCTAGAGTCTGTCTTTAGCCCAGTGTGCATTTTCTCATTTCTGTCTGCACTTACATTTTAAAATCTCCATTTAGTCTGGAAATGCCCCCCAAATCAGCAGCTCCACAGTCTTGGCCTCACCCCCTGAGCCCCAGGTTAGGATATGCACCTGACCCCAGGCCAGTGACATCAATATCCCAAAGACCCCTGAAAGTGCTCCGGGGACAGCGCTAGAGCCACCATCTCCACTATCACCCACCGGCCCCTCCTCCAGGGCTCCTGGTCGCCCTGAATAGCACCACTGTCCACACAGTGCCCCCAGCCAGAAACAGCATCGCCCAGTTTCGTCATGGAAGGGGTGTGAGTGAGGGGGCAGCAGTGCCTTTCGGCCTGGGACTGAGGCTACAAGAAGAGAACCCTCTCATTCCTGCTGCGTTTCACAGGTCAATTTTTGGGAGAAGCAGGATGAAACTTCATCACAAATGTGGAATCTGAATGAAATCTGTCCACCCTGGTTCTAGCAAAATCGGCGCTGGAGAAGCAGGGGGTGCATCGTATGCATTGCTGCTGGAGGGGAACAGGTTTCACAGCGTGAGCTCTGCCGGAGCTGGAAGAGACTGCAATGTTGGAAAACAAATTTGCTCGTCATCAACACACACACACACACACACACACACGCGCGCACACACACACACATCCATTGCTAGTCTCCCTGTCTGTTTTCCTGTTTCCTCTGTTCGTAACGTCCTTCCTCCTTTCTTCCCGCACCCCCAACCACAGTTTCTCTTCATACTTAATTCTCAGAT